GTGATGTGTCAGTGATGTATTTATGTCTTTTCAGTCATTTGCTCAGACATTTATATTTAATCTTTTATCTAGTAAGGTAACTCCATTGAAAGTAAATTCAAATTTCCAAATACAAAGCTTAGACATCTGCAAGACATGTCCCAAGATGAACTGCGAGAGGAATAGATGGTATGCTTCATTATTCTTCATTTTTTACATTCCCATCAGACTAAGATATTTGCTTGCCATTTCGTCTAAAACACAAAATCACTTCCATTGCACAACTAGAGGTTTGGTGCAATTAAATAAATGCACCAGTTTTTTTTTTCTCCTTAGGTTCCCAGGGGTCTAGGTAAGTTTTATCTGAATTTTGCAGAAGCATGCCAGGCCACCTGTATTTTCTGGTTCTAATGTCAATTTACCCTTAAGGTGCTCTGAAAACAAGCCAAAAAAGGAAGCCAGCTAATCAAGAGATGACTGAACCTTTTCCAGTCTTGCTTTTCAAAACTTATATTAGAGATGTTGTCTGCAAAAGGGGTTTGATCAAGAAATTAGTTTTGGAATCCCCACAGCATTTATTATATAGTTCGGTTTCAGTCAGTGAACTGCAGTAACATATGTTCTTTTAAAGAAACAATTCAAGAGTTGCCACAGAAGAAAATAATCCCATAAAATAGAGTTTGTCCAGTCAATCATTATTACGCTAATCAATAAGTTGGCAGTGTTTTTAGAGTTTGATAACATTAGCTGGTATATTGTTTATTAAGTATATTAACTATATTCAATAGGATATGGAATTTGTCATTGAAAAATTGTTTAAAAATAGAATACTCATATTAAAGAATGCAGTCTAGGCTATTTATAAGGGATGTCATCACAAATCAGTATAAGATGGAGATGGAAGTACAGGGTCTTGGGCATTTGGCTCTGGTATGAGGAATTCTGGGAACGGGCATGCATTCTGAGTGAGGAATTCTGGGAATGACAGTCATGAAATAGTGCAAGAAGACAGCATTTCAGAGGGTTTAAAGGACACCTCCTTTTCAACATAATTCAGTCTTAAAATGTACTTTAATTATGTGCACTTTAATTACTTTTATTACCTACTTCAAGAAGATAGTAAAAAAACTGTCATCAGATTAAACAGAAAATATGACCACAAAAAGATCACAGTACTATCCTATTCGAGTTGTTGCTGCTGTGACTCTATTTGAGCTCACCGCAGACAGAAAACTCAGCTTCCCTCTGAGTGCTGATTGTGTTGGTACACTCAGGGGAGCTGGAACTCTTGCAAAGTGAGAGACTGTAAAACCTGATTCAAGCCCTTCTGTTTCTCCTGCCTTGTTTGCAGGTGTTATTTTCCACCGATCCAAGACCCTGACAAAGATGCTCTTTGAAGAAAAGGCTTTAAAAGCATAGTTTTTCAGGGATTCTTGGAGAAGACCTGACCATCAGGAATTAGGTCAATCCATTTGCTTAATTAAAACCACATTGTAAAGCTGTGTTATTCATCCCATCCAATCTACCAGGACCATGACAGTACAAGCAGACATTGTACTGCTGTCAGCGACATTGTAATTTTCAAAAGACAGGAGGAAAAAAAACTCTTTATTTCAGGTAGATACGAAGCAAGAATTCACCAGTTTGATCTTACAATCAAGAGTAACCTTTCCTTAAAGGCAAAGGTGTGTAAAGAAAGCCAGATAGATTATATTATGATGTTCATATATATGATACGTAAACTTTAATCCACGGAAAAAGAAGGCAGTCTGGCACTTTATTTGGAATCCTGTACAGAAAAAGTTTGAAAATACTGTAAATGCTGCTGACTATTTTTGTGTAGACACAAGAATCAGATAAGATTTTTTTTACTATTGAGACTTCAAATACATGTGAGATATTAAAAATGAGAAACTTCTGAAGTTTGCTTAGACAGATATATTTTTTATTGAACTGGTGACTAATGTTGCTCAAATATTTTCTTGAAAGTCTTTAAAAAGTCTTTTTTGTTTCTCTTGCTTAAAAACAGGAGAACAGTTACAAATGAAAGAGGCCATTTGGTCCATGTAGCTCAGTTGGTTTCTTAGTAGCAAATTGATTCCAGAATCCCATCCAGTCTTTTACACAATTTTCTCTTTTGTGTTTTCTCTGAAGATGCTTAAGTGCTTACAGAGACCCTTTTTTCTCACAGCACACAGAAGCTTTGATTTAGTGCATTTTGCGTTTTCATAAACTAGTTTAGGTTTGGTTGCTATTTCAGTTGGTCAGTGTGGAGCATTTACACTGCATGGTTGGAAAGTAAACTTTAAAAACTTTAAACTTTAAATAGCTGGAAAGTTAAAGGTAAAGGCAAGTCTTTTCTATAGTGATTGTTAATGGCCAGAGGGAAATTCTATTAAATTTGTGATGCCTGGTTAGGGTCCTACCACAAAATACTTAACTGGTGGTTTGGCTTATGAAAGTTTATTATTGTGACCTTTCAGTACTTAATCGGAGAGATATCTTTCAATTTATGTGAAGACATGCTGATTGTGTTATGTTCCTGTTCAAGGACACTTGATATAACTGCAACTTCTGCATTTTCAGCCTGTGTGTCAGCCTGTGATAAATGTGATTCGCTAAATTACCTTTAACCAAGTTTTTTTTTGTCCTTTATGTATTTTTTCAAATACAAAATATATACATGTTCTACCTCAGATTTGTGAGAATTTTGAAAGGTTTGCTGATATTTCATGGGTAATAGCCAGACAGGATACCTCATCGCACTATATGTCATGTTACATCACGTGTATGGCTGTACTCTTAGTTAACCTCCTTGATTAATTATATAAATAGACAAATGTGTGCCTTTATTTCTTCTGAAGTGAAGAAAGATTTCTTTGTACAACTTTACCATAAAAATGAATGCTCCTTATAGAACATTTCTAGAATATAAACTGCAATCGAGAGAAGTATTTTAAAAGGCATTCGTTATATTTTTAGTTATAAGTTTACATTTCACAGTGTATTAAAAAGACCTAAATAGCTCTAGACCAGCTAGATCACTATCTATCTCTAAGGTATCGCCCCCGATGGTTTTGTTTGCAGGGCAATTTTAAGAAACACTTATTGAAAACTAAGTAATCGCTTATTTAGCATTAATTCCCACATTGGGTGGTTTTGTTTACTAGTTGGCACCTCACTGGGGAGCCTGCATTCAATTAACAGTAAGCCTGCAGTGTAAAGCAGTCGAGAATCTTTGATAAAGACCGTGAGAGATACACATGGAAATGAGAGGATCTATTTCCATGTGTAGTGCCTTTGTCCCTTGCTATTGTCTTCTTTGTAAAAGTAAAAAAAAAGAAATTGTGGGTAAAAAAAAAGCCTCCCCCACATTTTATCCCCCGTAAGCACCTCAGCATTGCTGTTTCCAAAATGTAGCAGGCCCACTATGATTTGCTTACCGACAGCTGTTGAGGTCTTTGCATAAGTAACATCAAACAGCACTTTTGACCGCAGCCATTGAAGTCCTTTCTCACAGCACTGATGTCATCACCCCAAAATAACGCACACAGCTCATAACTGAGACATACTCTGTGATGTCTTACTGCATTCTTTACTATGCCTTGGACCTGATTTTGTTTAGTTTATTTTCTTCCATTGTAAAGTGGAACCAATTTTGTAGGATAATTTTGCTCTTAACTCAGACACTGCAGCTATTCCATTGCTGGATTCATGAAAACATGAATTAAAACAAAATCATTTCTCAGAAGCCCTTTTCGTTCACAGCTTTCCTTTGCTTTCTAATTGTGCGGTGGCTGTTTTGCTCAGGGTGCCAGGGTCTGCAGAACTGCAGGCTGATGTATGAACAGGGTTGGCTTATTTACTAGAAGCAAATTTGTGGTTTGGTATGAAGGATATCTTCAGAAGCAGCTCAACGTTATTTTCCTTTTTTGGAAACAATCATCTTAATCCTTTCCTTCCTGGTTTTATAATTGAATTATGGCTTTTACAAAATGTAAACGAGATACACAAATTCATCTGTGTATAAAACTGTGTTATGTGTTTTTTACACAAACACTTCAGTGAAGTAGCTTTTTCAGTTGTTGTTTAACAGTGTGTTGTAACTGTAAAATATTTATTACAACTGTGATTTGTAAAATGAAGCTTGACAAAATATTTTTACCGTTGAAGCATGGCTCTATTAATTCAAAAGCAGAAGATGCTGGTAATTTCATGCTGGAATGCTTTTTATGGGTTTCTAAAGTTCCCGTCACACCTTAAATTGTTTTTGCTTAAAACAAAGTTTGTGCAACAGCAAATAGCAACAGGATTGTAGAAATGCTTAATTCAGAGCAACATACTCTCTAAAACATTTGGTCCTAGTCCTGGTCCCTGTTATTTTCTTGGTTTTGCTAAAGCCTTATGTTCTCCACCATTTTTAAGTCCCCTTTCAGTCCTTAAAACATTGAATTGGACATTGTATGGGTTTTGTAACTGGTATTAACCCTGTGCCAATTCCTGGACGTCAGAATGTCCTCATTCAAGTGTGTTGCCTGAAATGTAACTAATATTCAGACTTCAGTAGTTGGTTACATTGTTATGGGCATGTCTGATCATTCATTCCCACCTGTATCTGTTGAACATAAATTGATCTCCCATTAAGAGCTTTTTAGTCAAAGCTAAGAGAAAATTGTTAATTAGCAAGTATAACAGAGACTGCGCAAAGTTTACATGCTGAAGTTGTTGGAAATAACATAAATTAGAGTACAGCAGGAAATCATGAGCAAGCATGCAGACCATATTATATACATATTAGTTTTTATATATACTATATGGATCAGTTAGAACTGGCTCAGTTGCTTGAAAACCAGCGGAGACAATGGCCCCCTGGGACCAGGGCTGAGAACCATTGGCCCAGGCTATATGTACAGTCTCAACATCCGACCACACAGACTGAGAAGTCTGTTTTTGGGTAAGGTGTCATAAACCAAAGATTGGGCAAAATACTTATCAGATTTTAAAAGAAACGTCTCTTTCAGATTTCACAGAAAAATGGACAGCTCTCCAGTCTGAATGGAAAGACAGAGGACCAGACAGTGGAACTCAATGGACAGACAGAGCAGCTCAATGGACAAAATGAGAAGAGCCCGGCAGAAGGTAATTCAGAGCTCTGTAGGCGCTGCAACTGTCTCTTCTAATCTTAAACAGTTGTTTTAAAAAGTCAGGGTGGGAGCTGTAAATCCTGAGCTCTGTCAGGTCTGAAATGTTCCCCACTGAGATCTGACATGTACTGATTCCTCAATGGGGCCAACAGTCCAAATCCTTAATTAGTTCAGATTGTTTTTGGTTAACAAATTGTCAATTATGTTGATATACTGTGAGTTGAGATTTCTAATTGCAATTAACTTGTTTGTCAAAATGGAATTTAATGTTTAGTGTTCAGGACGTTGCTTCGAAAAGCATCCTTTTTTTTAATAATGTAATGTTGCACACATCCACAAAGTGAAACAATTGCTGAACTTTGTGTTTTCTTAACACAGAGAGCAAGAAATAAGATTAAAATTTTAAAGTACTATTTTGTTTATACATATTGATTACAAACTCTTCCAGTCCAAATCATAGATTTAGCTTAACTGTATATTTGTTAGTATTTCTGATTTCTCTTAAAACAATTTTATCATCTTTATATATCTGTTTTCTGAACCTTACTTTATTTCTACAAGCAAATGGGTTCTTCTTCATGACAAATGAGTTTCTTTCCTTTATGCTTGCAAGTTTTTTAAATATTTGAAGTTAGTCCTCACAATGATAATATTTACCTTTGTTACCAGGCTCTTAAGATTTAATAACCATGTTCTGTAAACAGTATCTGTGGCCACCACATTAACACACACATGTGAAGTTTCAGTCCAGTGAGTTACTGTAGAGCCTCCTCTAGATCAGACGACATCTGGCTCCGGCCTCGAGCTAATTTATGAGTAAGACCAGAGTGAATACAGCCAAACCGTAACTTCGTTAATTGGAAGAGTGTCACTGTTTATCTTGCAGTTTTGTCAAGCGACAATAAAAATGCTCCTTGTGAGGTTGTTTTAATGTAATTTTTTTCTAAACTTTTATTTACTATAACCACTCTGTAGTTCAGCTTTCAACTTGCATTATTGTGTTAGAAAAGAAACATCCTTGCTTGCTTAGGCTGAAGTTGAGTTTAAATTGTGAGAGCTGTTTCTTTTCAAAGCAGTCACCCAGAAGGCAGCACAAGAAAATTACTGCTATTTAAGCCTCCATTTTAAAGAGAATATTGTGTTTTATTTTCTGCAGTTTAGGCCTAGATTAAATTAAAAATCTTAACACTTCCAACAGTTACTATGTAATTTATAATCATTTTTGCTTTGTGGATGCCAGGCTGCCTTTGACATGCAAAAAAAAAACCTTGGTAAGTAGATCAAGGTTTAGGTCTAATCACAGTCTTTAAATTCTGTAGAAAGAATTGTGAAACCTGTACAATGTGGAATGCACATATACAGTAGATTCCTTGTTTTTGTTCTTTGGCAAAAAATGTCCTATAACCTGTCCATTTTGTCCCATAATTAGGGAAATTTGTAAAACTGGTTCATCATCAGCAAACGAAGGTTTAGGAAATACCACTTGAAAGCACTTAACAGGTTGTGGGGAATCCCCTCCACCACCACCAATGTGTAGCATGGATCATCCACCTGGATGATGCGATGGCAGTCAGAGTGCGCCAGTATGCTCACCACACACCAGCTGTGTGGGGAGGAGAACAGATTGATGAAACCAGTTTATAGATGAGGATTATTAGGAGGCCTTGATGGGTAAAGGCCAGGTGGAAATTTGGCCAGGGTGCCAGGGTAACACCCCTACTCTTTTCGAGAAACACTCTGGGATTTTTAATTACCTCAGAGAGTCGGGACCTTGGTTTAATGACTCATCCGAAGGACGGCACCTTTTTACAGTATAGTGTCCCTATCATTAGGACCCACACGACCACAGAGTGAGCGCCCCCTACTGGCCCACCTACTGGCCCCACTAGCACCTCTAGCAGCAGGCATCCTTATTTATTTAGCTTTAGATATATATCATATGTAGGGAACACCTGGAATCAATTTTTTGGCCAATTTACTCCTTTCAGTTAAAGGATTATTCCCAGAAATATATTAGAAAAGGTGTGGAAGAGTTAACCCAGATTACAAACTCAATTCAGTCAGGTAATGAATGGCTTTATTCCAGTTAACACCTGGAATTAGATGAAAAAGTCGTCTCTGATATAACATCGTTTGCTCCCACCAACTTTCCAGTTCAAGATCAGTTCAAAGTAGAAGAAAGATTTGCTATGTAAGATAAGAGGTGACAGCAGTATCCTTGTAAAGTAACAAGTAGGCCTGATGGGCAGTGGGACTGTCCTTGACAGGTATTTTTGTGTTGTATTTAGGAGATGAAAGCTACAGTATGGAGGTTGTTTATGGTATGTCTTCTGTGTATAGACAAGTTGGGAATATAAACCTCTAAAACTATGTGCTGAATCAGGTCTGCTTTCCCTTACAATCAGGACACTTAAAAAATAATTTGGATCTATATGCAGAATATTTTAAATAACACCATTATTCCCTTTCTTATGTGGTCAGATGTTTATTGTGAATCTGTTTCTCCCTTATCTCCAGTACATGTAAGTGGTCACCAGACCCTCATCTTGAGGAGCATGTCAGAGGGTACAAGCAGACAGGCTGTCACCTCCCCCAGTTGCAGATACCTTATCTGCATGAAGGAGGATGATCTTGTTGTTTTCAGCTCTTTGTTCAAACACAGGAGGTGTTCCAGTCCCAGATACCTCTGACAGATTCTGTAAAACGATTGGAGACAAGACAGTGAAGTTCTTTTAGACAGTAATCTGACCTGTTCCTTGGCCTTATGACTCCTTTTGACATTTTTTAATGTCTCTCACTATAATGTGAAATATGTTGTGAAACATTAAAAATGCAACAAACTACACTTTCCAATATTTACTTATCTGCTGCACGTATGAAATTAGATAGGGTATGTATATCTAAATATTATATATTTATATATAAATATATTATATTAGATATATACATATATTATTATATTAATTATAATAAATATTATATATAATATAGACTTGGAGATGGTATAGAATGTATAGTATATGTTTTTAAGCTATCTCAAGCTGTCTTCATGAGGCAAGGTTGGCAAAATATAAATTAGCCTTATAAATCAATAATCCATTACTATCAGTAAAAGACAGAAAGAGTTAGGTGTGGCAATTTTCCCTTTCCAGAGAAATCCCAACTGAAGGAAACCAATTGAACATTCGGGACACTGTTGGGCATTACCATACAGCATTGTGCTTTTCCCACCATGTACTAGAGTACAGACGACTCTCGTGTGTTCATTCTAATTTAACCTGGTGCCGGCCAGAGGAGGATAGCCCCCCCCTTTGGAGCCTTGGTTCCTCTCAAGGTTTCTTCCCACTTTAGTCTGGGGACTTTTTCCTTGCCACTGTCGCCTTAGGCTTGCTCACTGGGGGTTTAGGCCCGGTTATCTGTAGAGCTGCCTTGTGACAATGTCCATTGTAAAAAGCGCTATACAAATAAAACTGAATTGAATTGTATGTCTTGTTTTGTCACAAATAAGCTCTTCATTTGGATTAAGGGTTAATTAAATATATTTAAGGTTAAACTGGACCAGTCTATCCCTTCTTCCCCAGCTTTGAGCTGTATACAATTTAGGGAAACGTAGAAACCTTATTGGGTTCTGGACTGTGAGGTCCAGTTTGTCATTCCTGCGCCAAAGAGCCACTGGAATAATTAGGAAAAGGAAAATCAATTGGGGTGTTTATCTTCAAATAGCTGATCAATAATCATCCAAAATGAGCCTGATAATAGATTAATTTTTCAAAGGAAACTCCCTCAATATAAAACAAATGTTTTTTTACATATGTATATTATGACTTGAACATAAAATCACACTTTCGTTCATTTTATATAAAAAAGCTCTGCATTGTTACATACTGTTATTCCTATTTTCTCTTGCAATATGATCACGTTTTTTTTCTTTTCTGCTTTGATAAATCTTAGCTTGACCCATTAGATGCTGCTTTAAGTACAGTTAACATGTTATTACATGTCTTCAGACAGCCTTGGCTGTAAAGCAAATATTCCTTTAAAAAAATTAAGCCAAGTGGGGTGACTGGAGGAAATAGGCATATATATGAGATAATTCCTGATTTAATTTTCTGGAGAAAGCAAACTATTTCCCTCCCAGCTGTCTTGTAGTTTTCTAAAAGGTCAGATCAATTCTATGTAAGTCCCCAGATAATTAAAACAGTTTAATGGTCGGATAGAAGAGGTGGGAATGGTTCACTTTCTGGTCTGGAGTGGTTCAATCCTGATGCAGGTCTGCAGTACAGCTGCTCTTTTGCCAGAATGTTACATCATTACTTTTGGAAGAGATTTTTTCTGCCTTCAGTAATTTTGTTTTATGGCCAAAGTGTGCTTCATGCTATCTAATGAGACGAATCTAGCAAAAAATCCCTATTTTTTCAGTTCTATATTTTACACGATGCACTGTTGTCCCTGACAATTTCAAATTAAAAAATAAGCAAGGTAAAGACATGAGAAAACAGCAAATGTCGGCTTTTAAGTGACCTTTCCAGTAACAGCTTCTCGTTTGGTAGACAGGATAGATGTGTGCTAGAACAGGGTTAGTCAAAATACCTCACAGTCCAGGCATTCCAGGGCAGGATGTTTGAATAACTAAATAATTAATTAGATTATAATTAAACAGCTGCTTATGTCAGAAACTCCCAAAAGAATAGATGGGAAGGTCTGTCTACCCCTGGGCTAGAATTTAAGATTTATCCCCTAGACCGTCTAGAGCCAATGACATTTATTGTCCAATTCTTATTACAGGAGAAATTCTTCCCAGATGTCTTTACTTTGTTACAATTCCAATATTTCATATTTGTAACACACATTTAGCATTAGTGGAATACGATTACTGATAAGGTCACTCATTCTTCTTATCTTATTTGATGATGAGATTGATCTAGAATAAAGCTCATCTGAAAAGGAGCACTTCATGACAAAAAGATTGGCTTGTTCTTACCAAAAAAAAACAAC